AGATAAGAAAGGGCACGTTTTTCTAAAATATAGGAAGGAGAGGCAATGGCTCGAAAATGACGCAATGTCTTATTTTCGTACACCTTATTTAGAATTTCGTTTAACTTGTTCTTTACATTGTCACTCAGCTTCTCATATGAAAACCATTTTAATTCTGACCAGGTTTTTATATTAGTTTGTATACGTTGACATTTTTATTAAACATAATTTTAACCTAAACCCTACCCTCTTCTTCATCTTTAAAAAAAAAAAAAATGTTTCGTCAATAGAATAATCTTAAATATTACATAATATATTGTTATGGAACCAAATTTACTTTTTACTCGATGTACACTCGCATTCTATTTCTGTATCAACGAAATATAACAATATGTACAAATTACCTTTATAAGCCAACTTCTTCCTTGAAAAAATTAAAAATCTAGATAATATGTATTAATAATCAACTACTCAAGTACTATTTTTTCGTACCTACCAATTACTCCACTTTTATACAAACCAGTCAAAAAATAGATAGGTATATTATTGGAAAGGTATTGTCGAGTAGAGTTGCACGAAAATATTATTTGTTATAACATAAGAATATCTTGCCCTGAAGAGAGGTGAATTATGAAAAATAGAAATACACCAGTGGTACCACGCCATCTGTTCAATAAAATAAAATAAATTTAAAAACAATTTCCTGTTTGAAGTCGATTAATACAAAATATAAAATCCAGTACCTAACCTAACCAAGTTATACATATAATTAAAGAAAATAATAGTTAATTATTGTATGTTATTCAAATGTACATCAATTGACAATGTATGTTTGTTTGTAGTTTATCTGCTTATAGACTCAAACAATAATGTATAAAATATCTGTTTTTTCAATTATATAATACTCAAACGAACAAAAGAGAAGAAGCAAAGACACTGATAACAAACTGTGTGTGTGATAAGAAATTCAATATCAAAAAACAATCTCAATCTATTTTCAAAACAGGAAGATGATAACTTTTCTATTGGCACAGAAAACGTTAGTCAGATCAGTTAGTGGATTAATATATTAGTCTCTTTTATTTCGGTAACCAATGGCAACCCTATTTGTAAAGAAAAAATATTCAATTTTCGTCAGCCCAAACGAAATTCATGTGTGAGAAACCCTATGACAACCTTATAGAGTTGAACAACGAAACTATGAATACTCCGAAAGTCTCAAAGAATATATGTGCAACATTTGGTGCAAATTGGTTGAGTAATTTTCAAGTCTATTTTATAAGCTCCATACAAACGTACATTCATTTTAGATTCTGAGTGGATTGATGAATGTAAACATTTAATACAAGGCTCCTGATATATTGTTACAATATCAGTTGAAAAATATTAAAAATACATTGTCACAATTTTTTTTTATAAGCATTATTTAAAGATCAAATTTTTACAAAATGTATCAAATTTAAAATTGAATAATTATTTTGTAGTTAAAAATTTATAAAATGTTCAACTTTTATATCTTAGGATTGAAAATTTAAAACAAGATTCCAGGTAAGTAGTTAATTCTATTACCAAAAAATCTAAAAAATACATAAGCACAGTTTATTTTTATAGTCATTTTAAGTTCAAATTTGGATGAAATTACATAATAAAAAATCTAAAATAACTATTTTAGTTATTTTGTTGTGATTGTATAATGTTATTCGTGGGTACTTGAAACTTCTAAAGTACACTATTATATATCTATGATAGCATCAGGGTTTGTTGTTGATGTATAACACGTTATAAGTACCTAATGGATATTGTGATATGATTAATTTGGAATTTAGTATAGGTACCTAATATAGGTCAATTTTTTTTTAATATCATAGCTAAGTATATAATATGTCTTATACCTAGACTGACATAACGTCTCCACTCAGAATAGTTTTTCTTATACAATGATATTATATCATTGAATTCAAATTTAAGACCATCCATTAAACAGTGACCCACTTGTAACCTATTGTACAGCAGAGCACCTTTTTTTTTATAAATATATATTAGATACATGCCTATTTTAATCTTTAATTATTAAAACTAATGAAGCACAAAAACTTGTAATATGTTACCTTTTTTTCTTCATATTGTATGACATAATTGAAGATATATTTTTGATACCGTGTAAACATTTTGTTTCGTTCCTAAGTAACTTCGTAATTATTGCTGTTACGAGAACGTCATGCACTTGGTTTAAAGGCGTTTTAAATAGGCAATTTTAGTAAAAATGTATTATTAAAATTAATTCAAATACAACAAACATTGTCATACAAGTTTTCCCGTGTCAGTATGTACTGTTGAAAATTGTTGCGTAATTATGAGTTTACTTAGGCACATTATATGTTTAGGGTACGAACCAACTGAATTCAATAAAAATGTATTAAGTATAACATAAATAATAGAATAACCACACTATTATTATCAGTTTTGTATTTTTTTTTTTTAATAACCGAACTCAGTTATTTTAACGATCAAACAAAAATCTTAATGATAAACAAAAGTATACAAATTAATAATTTTAAATCAATTTGTGCAATAAAAAAAATAATAACAGATCACAGGTGAAATTGTTTCATATTTTACAATTAACATTTGATCATTGGTCGTACTATAAATTTGTACCTGCAGCATTTATCATGTTATCCAATATAGTATACACATACAGTTTACATTCAAATTTACTAAGCATATCGCATATAAAATATTACCATCGAAATACAGTAAGTTATTGTAAACATTTCATGATAACGGAACAAAGTAAAGTAATAAATAAACGGGATCATTTGCGTGAGGTTGAAAATGTAACTATTAATGTATTGAAATATCATTTAATTCGTCTATTTCAGCTGTTTCACTGTTCGTGTTAAAATTTCTGCAGGCATATAAAAGTATACAACATGGCCATAAAGCGGTATCATAAACTGAACACATAATATGGTATATTGTTTAAAAATTTAACCGATGGTGAATTCGTTCTACATTATTTGTTCTCCTTCTATTCATTCTTATTTCTTACTTAGCGTAATGCAGCCATGCATGCTCTTAGTATTTTATTCTTGCTGATAATGATGGCTTGAATTTTAATTACTCGCAATTTTTAACTCCCATACAATTTAATAAGTAATAGGTAGGTTAGGTATGGGTACCTACACTTTGTCTACCGTTATATGTTGTTATATCATTAAACTATATATAAATTAAATTAATATAAAAGTGCTTAAACAGAATTACTGGTAAACACTAAACGGTTAATGGGGTTTATTGAAAAACTTTCGTTCGGTTCGAATTTCGATACACAGTAATATAAATCCGTTTAGGAAGAATTGCGTTGACCGTAAAGTTAGATTTAAGTTTTTGCCTTCCAAATTTGTTTCGACATTTGGTGAAAATGAAAAAATAGAAGAATAAACGTAATGGTACCTATAACCTTCGATTATTCGTTTGCTGTTGAAAAATATTGAACGATTTTTTAAAATGTTGCCTTTGTAGTTTTATTAAATCTGTGATTAAATTTCTGAGAACAAGTTTAAGGAAAATATTCTTATATATTTTATACGTAATGTATATGAATTTTGGAATTAAAATACTTTAGATTCAGAATAACACTTATTTAATTTATTGTTGTCTGCAAATATTGGTATTTCCTTTATAACAAGAAAAAACTTAGTAATATTAATTTTCATTGATATGACGAAAAACGGATCGCATTTGTGCGAATACAAGATTACCCATATATTATATAGGTAGGTAGGCACCTAGAAGTGTTTGGTAAGAAACTATGCATTTAAACTACTAATTTAACCATTACTTTAAAGCTGACAGGCGATAGAGACAACCAATATTACCAACATCGATTCTACATCGATATTAAGACTTATGACTACAACGATAAAAATTTTTTTATTATTTTAGAATCGAATTTTTCAAACACTGTGGTTTAAAAGTTCTAGGTGTAGGTACTTGAGCCTTGAATTGAAGGAAAACGTGGATATCATAATGTACAAAAAATTGTTTTCCGGGTCAAACGGCATCTTCTCTAACTGTCCCTCCAAAGTATGAAATTCATTAGGCGACGACGGCCACAGGTCACCGGGGCTGAAATGAAAGTTTCCGGTGTTATTTGGATATCATAGGCACGACCGGTAAAAATACGACCGGAACCTAAGAGCCACGGGCCTGATTGGCGGCTGAGTAGGTCTGTTGTTTCTGGCGATTATCTGTCAGCTTGTTTTTTCTTTGCCATTGAAAAAACAAAATATATTTTTTGTGACTTAAATTGTGCTGGTGTCTGGTGTGAAAAACGAGTGTGTGGGTCGTAGGGTCAGAATATATTAAAATATCTAATACGAGGTCTGATATTCAGGCGCCAACTGAAACGTTCCAATGTTTGTTTTTGTATTGTAAGCTAGAAAGTAAGAGCTAAAGATAAGTATGTTATTTTTTTTAAGCTCATTGTAAAGTTTTAATTAAATATAAAGGCTACTTTCGGACTAGACACGTCATTTTATTTTATTTTGAAGCACCCAAAATTTAGAACGTTTCATATTTTGGCGCTGCTCACACTTAATAAATTCGTATTAGGTCAGTATACGTTTTTACATAAATAGTAAATAGTTACATTGTTACAAAAAAAAACAAGATGGTCGTGTCCGCCACCGTTGATCCACGTCGATGATACCATCGTAAAATTGGTAAAAAAGCGGGAGTTCGTAAAATTCCAAAAAAGTTATTTTTAACCATAATTGTTTAAATTATTAAAAAATTATTGATTGAAATATTTGACATTTTTAAAGGTTCAAAAATAGTTTCTATATAATCAGGTATAAATATAGATATTTTTAGATAATATAATATATGATATACATGCATGGTAATAAAATTCCCAATAAGACTGTTGTACTAAAAATTACATTTTATTGTTTTCCAGACGTTGATGGATTAATTAAGACCTCGATGGTCTGTTGGTCATCAATCTGTAGTCTATAATGAAGAGTCCACGTTATAGTGTGCGGCCATCTGCCACTGACGATAAAAGTATTCACGCAAATATGGGTGCATTGATATGGGTGCTGGTGGGCGCAGTGGTCTTTGTCGAGTGTGTAACGTCCACTGCAGTGCCTGGCGTGGTGCGGTTTGCTGTCATAGCACCATTGAAATCCAGTAAGAGCGAAGAGACCTTGGGCGCCATATTGCCATCCGTAGACTTGGCGGCACAAGCGATAGCTCAACCCAAAGGATCGCTGCCTGGATGGAAAATACTAATCGAAAGCAGAAATGGAAACTGTTCATCTACCGATGGCCCACTGGCCGCATTTGATTTACACACTAACAGTGGTGAGTGGGATTTTTCTCAATATTTTTCAGCTAATAATTATTAATTTAAAACCACTTACTTGACCTTGTCGCTAATGTTGAATGTAGGTACATTTTAATTATTATGAAGTATTGAAGTACATGTTTGAAAATAACGAGTTAAGATATTAGATACCTAGGTACCTAGTCATATAATTTAAATGAAAACATGTATATTCTTACGAACGTTTTTACCCCCTGAAAAATAATTTAATGCATTACTACTGTACTAGTATAATATCTATATCGATGTTTAGTGTGTTTAACTATTTTCCTAGTCAACCGTGAAAAATACGTCCAACAAAATAATTTATTGTCCATTATACTAATTATGTGAAAGGGCCCGGTGCCAGTTTTAAAATTTTCGGCAATTCTATAAAATTTTAAAATTATATTTTATATTTTAGTTTGCGCCCTAACTGGCTATAACTATAATACTTTTCCTCTAATCTACTAACCGATACCGTTTTAGGAGGAGTTGATAGGGTGTATTATATCGAAAAACATAACTTAACTGAAATAAATAACAGGCCTTGTAGAACTATCGGATTTTGATAACTATTTTTTTATCCGAAAGAAAAAGACTTCCTATAGGAATCAAACGCCGATTTTTTATTTTATTTCCAACAATGGTATAATATAATTTATAAAAAACTCTTACAATTGTATTAATCTGAAGACAATATATCATAAAGTTTGAGTTTAAAATATTGAAAAACGGTGTTTGATGCGGATGAATATTTATATTATAATACTAATGTCAACTAATTAGAGGAATGATCCTATTATATATATAAGTGATAAAGTCAACATTTTTCAGATTAAATGTGAATACAATTTAAAAAAAAAAATATTTAAAAAGAACTTATTTATAATATAATAAAAATAGAATCATCGTTAGAAAACAGTTGAAAGTTGCAATCAGTTTTTAATTGACAGTGGTTGGCACTTATGGGTTTTTAATTGTCAAAGACAAATGACATTTTGAAATAATTTCCGGAAGCTAATGTTGGTAATAGTCAAATAACTAAAATCTACAGCCATTGATTTTTAAATTGTTATATCTAGTTCAATAAATAGGTACTTACCTAAGTAATTTACATATCCGTTTTCGTCTAAGTACGTATAAAATGTTTTTTTATAATACATTCCATAGGAGTAACATTCTAATATATTAGAATTATAAACACATAATACAAATATTATGTAAGATGTAAAGTTTTGTATGAAATATTAATTAATTAAAAGAAGTTAGAAACATGAAGTATTTTCTGAAAAGAAACTTTTATTAACGTGTTGTACTTTCAATACGTTATACTGTTTGCAGTACAATATGAATATTATATTAGGGTGACAAATTTATTTTTGGAATTTAAAAAAAAAAAAAAACATTTTGATTTTATAAATTATTAAATTAATACATAGTACTTACTTTGGTTGTTTCTGGTCGACTGACAGGGTTTAAAATACATTAAGTTTTTGGCTATGCAAGCGGAAAAAATAAAGTTTTTCGTTGTTTAACTAAATCGCGATCATCAATCTTGTCAAAAAATATATTTTTGCTTTATTTAATGTACCCATTGATTTTAACCGTATTTTTTTATTTTCGAACAATTATAATACATTTTGTGCTTCAAAAAAAAAAAAAAATAAATAAATAATAATAAATTAACGATTGTTCTGGCAAGTGTTGTCGATAAATATGTGTATACTAAGACATATTTATTTTCAAAAGGTACAAAATGAAAACGATACTTCATTTTTTAACTTTTGCAGATTTATCAACCATTGTATTGACGCGTCTTCTAATTTGAATTAAATTTACTTGTCTACCTACGTCTTATAATATATACTTGGGGTTTTGAATATTTTACGATTTGATTCCAGCTAGTATATTATTATACATGTATGATAAATCATACTTTATCTTTTACGTAGGTATATTTTTCAAACGTACATTTTGTTTTTAATGTTAATTAAAACATAAGTCTTAAAAGTTGTACTTTTAAATGGTTTATACATTTTTCAAAGTAGAAACCAAAGTTGTGTACAGTTTTTATGAAACGCTCACGAACCATTTATATCATCTAAATATTATACGAATTTTATGAAATCCATTAATTATTCGATCGTATATTCCCGAACTAGTCTGTTTATAATTTTCAGTTGTATGGCATGTCGTGATAATTTGTCTATTAGTTTATTACTTTATGAATATCTATATTCTATATATAAAAAACAAAAAAAGTTTGTACCCGACTACCTGAAGTGTCCTTTATACATTCCTAAACCTTTTATTCGATTGCGATGAAATTTGGTATAGAGATAGATTAGATATCAGGGAAGGAGATAGGCTACATTTTGTCGAGGAAAAGGCAAATAAGAGGTTCAACCTGGGGAAGTTCTCAAACAGGGATTTGAGATTATTATTATTATTAAAATTATTATAAAAATTATTATTTATGCGATAAGCCTGTGTATTTTAGTACAGAGTCCATCGGGTTCGAACTACGGTTTCGGTGGACCAATTTTTAGCATATTTTGATACTTTAGAGTTAAGTTATACACTTACGTACTCATCACGCGGGGTCCGTGATATTCCGCAGGTAAATTGCCTACCTAATGATATACTGATCGCATAATCATAAAAACCTAGCAATATCAATTGATTCCTGTGTCAGCTAGTATTGAATATTTGAACAGAGAAGAGGGAAGACGAAATGAGCAACAAATATATAATATTATACAATAAATGCATGTAGCATTATCTATTTAAATAGAGAAGAAAGAAAAAGAACAACAAATATAATATACAATAAATATATAAATTCATACATATACATATATCATCGAGATATTATAACATTATGGTTACACTGAATGTAAAATATATAAATAAAATAACCATTTAACAATGTTTTTTTAAAACATTTTTTTTTTATTTATTATAATTTAAATGTTTCAACATATTGCATGTTTTTACAAGTTTGTTATTTAAATTAATACAATTTAGAATTTAAATTTTTAAAACATAAATTGTACCTAGTCATAAAATTATATTTTAAAATTTTATTTATAATTCAAAAGTTTAAAAGTTAAAATTCAGCATTTATGGCTCAGCCTAATTTTTGGTACCTACCTATCTAATTCTGACAAGTGTGCGTGACTGTGTGAGAATTATGTTCATATTGGGTTAATTATCAAACATTTTAATTCCCTTTGACAAAATAAAATGACAGTTTAAGCTTATTAATCTATGGTATTTTATCAACTTATAACTTTTAACTTAAATATTTTGTAATGATATCGTGGTATGAATTTTCATCATCAAACGTGGAATAATAAACTATATCATTCTAAAATATAATCCCCACTCCTGAATTTAACTATTGGTTTTTTTTGTGCATCATTATTTCAGTTAAATACGTCAAAAACGTACGGTTTAATTGCAGGTACCTATACGGCTATACGTAATCTCAATGAGAATTCACTCAGAGTGAGGTTTTGGAATCATGTTATATAATGCGTTTAATTAATAGTCAACCCTGAGGTGGATTTCTATATACTCGTTATAATTGTAATTATTCTGTTGACAATTATAATATAGTAAAAATCATGTTATGGTTTAGAATTCACATCAATATAGTATTTAAATTGAATTACAACAACGCTATAAGGTATGCATGTTAGTATTTCTCTAAGGTTTTCTATAAAAGTGTTTTAAAAAAGTTGAATTTATTAATTATTTTGTTTTTAATGAAATTATAAAATCTATTTTTAAGAAAACCAGGAGAGTTGCTTTGCTGTATTTGGTGGCGATATTGCGTGTACGTCATTATTGAATTGGTCACTGTAATGGATTTGCAAAATTTTAATTAAATTATAAATCCCTGAAAACTAAAAAGTCGATTTTCAGCGGAGATGGTTAATAAGGGTATATTATACTAATTTATACACCAGGTATTAGTTACTTATTTTTCCATTATTGATATTACTGGTTGAATTTATTTTTCCAACAACCTCGCATATATTTTGTATAATATTTATGATGTACACTCGTAGTATAATTAATAGTTAATTAGCCTAAATGTTTTAATATAATATCATAGGTAGTTTATAGAAAATCACTACGATTTTTATTGAATAGCAACTAAAATATAACTAAAATCCTACTATAAAAAGTTATGCATCTTCATTATTCACGCTTTTTAATTCCAGTATGAAAAATATGAGGAATTTTTTATTACATTTACAACCTCAAGTATTAAAATTTAAATGTTGTTCATTTTTAACTACAAAATATATTACATTTTCATTACTTTGACTTTTGCCAATATCTGAATTTTCACCGCATTTAGAACGAAATTCTAATTATGTAATATTAATATTTTTAAATAGGTATAAGAAACACTTATGTGGAATCTTGTATTAATTGTCACGCTTTTTACTTAAAAAAAAATATTTTATTAAAACAAAATGAAAAAAAAATTTAAAAATAGACATAGTATTAGACATAAAAATAAAAATAAGCACTCTTAATTGTAAGCACAATGTATTCATCGCTCCACCCAAAATCTAAAAAAGGAAATAGGTATTCTCTACTATCGTTGAGTTATTTAATTTTTTGTAGACCACAGTAGAATGGATGAATAATTTAGAGTTCAACCAAATTGTTTCACAATCCCTAATTTTGAGAACAAGATATACCTTTCAAATTACACAAACAACGTCCTTTAGATTAATTAGGAAAGACCCGGTAGTCATGTTTTGAGTTTCTACATTTCTAATCATAACAATGGATGACAGTGTTTTAGGTTAAATGTACTTTATTTCTACCATTGGGAATTAAGAAGACCGAACTTTTCATTCTTAAAGCTTATACGGCAATAAACTAATATATATATATATATATGTATTGGGTTTGTTCCATATAGTTCCATGTTTGTACCATTGTATGGCAACAATGAGTAATTACTTTTTTG